GGGGGGCCGGCTGCCATGAGTAGGGGCGGGGCCAGGAGAGGCGGGGCGCGGGCGGGCGAGAGCTAAGGGCATGGAGATCGCCAGTGAGCAGAGGTGGGGCGGCAAGGTGGCGCGCCTCCACGGGAAGGTGATGATCGGGAAGGTGCTGATTGAGAAGGTAGTGCCAGAGTGGAACAGGGAGACGGTTGAGGACGAGAGATCGGAAGGCGAAGACAGGGTCTCTTTCGGAAAGGGACGGGGCAAGGGGAAGGGGCCTGGCGAAGAGAGCGCGTATGGTGAGAAGCCTCGGGTCGAGGGAGAGGCCAGGGGCGAGGAGACCGAGAGGGTCTCTAATAGGAAAGGGTGGGTCGAGGGGCGCGCGAACGGTGAGAGGGGGTCTGACGAGGAGGGGAAAGCCAGCGCGCAGGAGGGCGCTCCGCGCCTGGAGAGAGTCCACAGCGAGGAGGGGCGGGGCGAGGGGCGGGGCCAGGAGACGGGGCGGGGCCAGAGGCAGGGAAAAGGCGAGGAGCCTGAGCGGGAAGAGCAGCTCGCTAGGGATGGGGACACCGTGCAGGTTGATAAGGAGCGAGTCAAGAAACAAGGGCGGGTCGAGGGACCGGGAAGGGGCAAGGAATGGAAAAGGGTTGAGGAACAGGCCCCAGGCAAGAAACAGGAGCGGGGACAGAGGAAGGAAAGGGGTGCGGAGAAGGTCCGGGGTGAGAACTCCGAGAGGGGCGAGACCAAGGATAGGACCCGGTTGCCGGGCAGGGTCCGAACGAGGAAAAAGGGGCGGAACGAAGAGAAGGGGAGAGGCGGGGCAAGAAATGAAGTGGCAGCCAGGGGCAAGGGCAAGGGTGCGATCCCAGGCAGCAAGACGGGGAAAAAGAGGAGGGGCTCGGCCACTGCAAGAAACAATAACCGAGATCGGGCGAAGAACAGGGGCGAAATACAGAGAGGGGGCGGGGCCGAAAGCAAGGGCGGGACAAAGTTAAGGGGAGAGATGAGGAGGCGAAGTGGAACGAGACGCGGGAGCAGGGCTGTGGCCAAGAGCCTCAGTGGGGTCAGGACCAGGAGTAATAGCACAGGTGGGATCGGCAATAGAAGCAGAGGTGGGGCCAGGAGCAAGAGCAGTGGCGGAGCCAGAAGGAAGAGCAGGGATGTGGCCAGGAGCCTCAGTGGGGCCAGGACCCAGAATAATAGCACAGGTGGGATGGGCAATAGGAGCAGGGGTGGGGCCAGGAGCAAGAGCAGGGGCGGAGCCAGGAGGAAGAGCAGAGACCTAGCCAGGATCAAGAGCGGGGGTGTGGCCGGGAGCTTCAATGGAGCCAGGACCAGGAGTAATAGCACAGGTGGGAGAGGCAATATAAGCAGGGGCGGGGTCAGGAGCAAGAGCCAGAGAGGGGCCAGGAGCAGAGGCCGCGCGAAGCTCATAAGTGAGGTGGGGTCCCAGACGGCAGTATCTTAGAGCCGTCTTGAACGCAGGTATTGACCCTGGCGTTCTCCAGGTTCGAGCCACGTTGGGCACTGCCCAGTCATGTCTCCTGCTGGCCTTGTATGGCCAAGAGTCCAAGTCCCACGTGTTCAGCATGCTGGTGGATGCACCCATTGACCCGCTTGAGGTGAGTGAGGGGACCAGGAGCAAGCGGACCAGAGGAGTCTTGAACCCATATGTATTCCACTGTGTACTTTGTGGTCACTTTCCTTTGCAGAGATACCTGGGCTTTCCTTACTACCTGGAGATCAAGTACTCCTGCGAGGGCTTGGTGAGTGGGTGCAGCAGGGTGGGCCCATTCTGCTAGCTTCAATTTCCCCCATCTCTAACATCTTTTTATTTAAATTTATTTATTTATTTAAATTTGACCAGAGAGGACTGGATAGAGAGAGAGAGAAAGATTGAAAGTGAGAAATAAAGCGGGCAGGTCTAATACTCTGGACTCCCATATGGCCGGCTGACTATGGTTCGAGCTCCAAACCTGGTGGCTTGCTTTCTCACTTTTTCTCTCTCTGGTCAAGTCAAAATAAAAAAAAAAATTAAATAATTCTTTTTAAAAAATAATAAAGTAGAGGCCAGCAATTGGCATTATGGCTATGTCGCTGGACTCCAATGTAGTCAACCGCGGTTCGAGTCCCAGACCCAGTGGCTTAAACTCATGCTGGGTGTGTGTGCATGCGTGCCCAAGATCCCGAGAGGAGAATGGAGGAGAAGGGATTGCGGTGTGGCCATCCACCCTGGGGGGTGATTTTTCACTTTCTGTCTCTCTGCCTTTCTGGCGAACACACACACCCTATAGCAAAAACCTCTCAAAAAAAATAATAACAATTCAGCATTATGCACAGTTCTCAGTATCCCACTGCTCACATAATAGGTGCTAAAGTAAGCTTTTATTTATTTTACCATTTTTTTAGTTGAGATATAATTCAAGTAGCATAAAGCTTATCTTCTTAAGGTGTACCATTCAGTAGTGTTTAATGTATCTATAAACTTGCACAACCATCACTGCTGTCATGTTCTAGAAAATTTTACCACCCGTAAGAGAAACCCCTACCCTTAGCAGTCACTTTCATTTCATGTGCCTTGCTGTTCCTCTTTCTTTTTAATTTGCCAGAAAGTGTATGTACTTACGAGAAGGAAGAGCAAGAAAGCACCCTTTTCAGGGAATAGTGAGGGTACATGCTTTATCCTCCATTTTCCTTTCCTATTTTGGGCACATACACATGCCCAGCATGTTTTTCAAGCTGGCAGGTCTAGGACTCAAACAATTCAGCCAACCATGTGGGATCCAGCTACTTTCCCGCTGCACCACTAGCCAGCCCTAGGTTGAACATTTTTTTATGGACTTACTGGCCTTTTATCTATCTATGAAGGAATGTCTATTCAGATCCCTTACCCACTCTACTTTAAAATTTTGCCAGAGGACACATGCATTTGCCAGAGAGAGTTGGAGAGAGGGATTCAGCTCTCTTAACCACCAGGCCATGGGCTGGCCTCTTTCTTTACTTTTTCAAGTTTGTTTATTTCTTCCCTAACAGGAGAGATAGAAAGAGCCACCCCCGACAGGAGCCCAATGCCTTGATCCACCCCGAGCCCCAGCCAGTCAGGGAACATGGGCATATGCACATGAGGTGCACTCAGGGAGGTCTCTGGACAAAAACCCAGAATCTGGGACTCGAACTGCGGTCGACTACATGGGAATCCAGTGACATAACTATTATGCCATCTGTTGGTCCCAATTTTATTTATTTATTTCTTCTATGAGAGAGAACAAGAGAGATAGTATGCCCAAAATGCTCCTCATTCTGCAGTTTACCCTCAGTCTTAAGCCAGTTCAGATCATGAGTTGGGGTACATGTGCCCAGCATGCTTACAGAGGTACCAGGGATACAAACCTAGGACCTTTCCCGTCTGACTCTAGTTGTGTTACTACCACTGCCGGGACCCTCAGGAAAGCTTGTGTGTGTGTGTGTAGCACTTAGTGCCTGGTTCACAGAAAGGGCTCAATGAATGTTAGCAACAAGTCTATTAGAGTATGGCCCTCGGCAGAGGGTTTTGCTCTCTGCATCTGTTGTCCTTATCTGTAAAAGTGCAGGAGTGATGCCTTTCTGCTCATTCAGTGCCTACTGGGAATCATTTCCTGTTTTTGTTACAGGCAATACAATGGTAAACAAAACAGTCAGGTTTTTCTTGTGGATTCAGTCCACTAGGAAAGCAGATCTGGGGCCAGCTGGTGGCATCAAAGTTAAGGTGGCTCCATCCCATATGGCCCATTGCCAAGTTTGAGTCCCAGACCCAGCAGCTTGAGAGACATGCCAGGCGCATGTACGTGGGTACCCAAAATCCTGAGAGGAAAATAGAGCAGAAAGAATTGCAGCGTGACCATCCCCCCAGGGAGAGGGTGCTTTCTCACTTTCCCTTTTTCTCTCTCTGGTAAGCACACATGCCCTGTAGTAAATTGGGGGGAATAAAGACAATCTGTTAGGATGGAGGGTCACTGTTTTTAGTGGGGTGGCTGAGGAAGGTCTCTGAAGGAGCTTGATGGAGACCGGAATAGAAGCAGTCCAGGCTGATGGAGTGTCCAGGCAATGGCCCAGAGGCAGGAAGGGGTGGGTGTACTGGAGCAGAGTGAGTAGGAGGAAGGTGGCAGAAGGGAGGCAGCACAGTGACAGGCACAGGTGTAGGGCCTGCGGGCCACAGGGAAGACTTGGCTTTTGCTGAGTGATATGGAGCCATGAGAACTCTGAGCAAGGGAGGGACATGATGACTCAGGCCTTTGCCCACCTCCTGCTTGGCAGGGGGGCAGGGCCAGTGCTGGGGACAGTGGGGCAGCTGCTACACTGGAAAGAGGTCCCCACACCCCATAACACCTGCACCTGTGACTGGGAACTCAGAGGCAGGGCCAGAGATAGACAAGATGGGGGGAATGGAAAGAGCCCTGGCCCATGGGAGTACATCCCCAGCACCCTTTGTGGCCCAGGGCAGCCTGCGCTGGGGGATGCCTCTGAGCCTTTGCTTGTCCTTCTTCCATCTCCACTCAAAGCCCTGACTGCCTTTCTCAGCCCAGTCAGGATCTAGATTTCTGGGAGGCTGTCCCTGGAGGTCCCTTCCACACCTACTTCCTCAGTCCCCTTTTGCTTGACTGCCCCATCCCATGCTTATCCACCGACCAAAGGCCTAGGACTTGGTGTCCTCTAACTGGCGGGGATGGCAGTCTAGTTTTTGCAGGGAGGGTAGAAGACTACCTTGAGTAGGGCTGGGGTCTCTGGAGTAGGGGAAGAGGCTGCTAGCCAGTCTGGATGCTGAATGTATCTCCCCTTTCACCTTTTTTTTTTAGAGTTATTTATTTTATTTATTATTATTATTTTATTATTATATTTTAAAATTTGCTATAAAGCATGTATACTCACCAGAAAGACAGAGAGAGAGAAAGTGAGAAAGCAAGCCGCTGGATCCAGGACTCAAACCATGGTTGACTATGTGGTAATCCAGCACCTTACCACCATGCCACCTGCTGGCCTCATCCACCTTCACTTTTTGCTCATCCAGTACTGCCTTTCTCTACACATTCCCTGCCTGCTTGTTCTGTCTGAAGAACCTGTTCTGGAGTCACCTCTTCTAGGGAGACCATGGATTCCCTCTGACCCTCCCCAAGCCCAGCCCATCTCCTACCCAGCTCCAAACCTAGACTGTGTTCTCTGACCAGCCCATGGTGGCAGTCTGTTTTTCCATTTGGCCATGAGAAAGGTTATAGAAGGAGGGCTCAAGGCAGGGGACATCTAGTGGCTATCATACAGACACACCTGTGGGGATGTCTTGTCTTTAGACTTCTAAAGCCCAGGTCCGCAGAGGCCACCTGACAGGGTTAAAGCCCGTAGTGCTGGTCACCTTCCAGCCTCCAGTCAACTTCTACCGCTGGAAGATAGAACGACTACAGATCCAGATGGAGGCAGCCCCCTTCCTCAACTCAGGTGGGCCCTGGGGATGCCTGGAGGGTCACAGCCTGGCAGAACATGGGGGGTGTTGGCGGCCTCAGTGGGGCCCGTGACCTGAAGGCTCCTTCACCCCAGGAGGCCTCAGCAAGTTTCATGGCCTAGATGGAGCCACACACAGGCTCCATGGGACCCATGGCATAGAGGGGTAATGGGAGTTCCCAGTATACTCTGTGACCTGGATGGGGCCACTGGGAGGCTGCAGCAGCTACAGTGCCCACCACCTACCTGCAGATCCATGCGTCGCAGAGGTGTGTGTCATGAGCTGGTACACACCCATGCCTATCAAGAATGGCAGCGTGGTCATGTATGTGGATGTCAGCAGCAATGGCCTGGGGCCCTTCATTACAGATAAGAGGTGCCCTTCCCAAAGCCCAGGACAGGGGGTAACCTGGGAGGAATCCCTCAGCCCTGTGTCCCCAGGGGAACCAGGGTGAGACCAAAGGGAGGGCATAGGGAGAGGGAGCTGTGAGCTGTGGGAGGAGTCCTGAAATGTGAACCTCAACTGTGTTGGCCCTGCACCTGCTGGCAGGTTCCAGATGAATATCAATGGCTTCTTGAAGAGAAAACGGGAAGATAATGAAATCCATTTCATTGTGGGAGATACGGTGAGAGGGCCTGGGCAGTGGGAGAGGTAGAAGCTGTGGTAGAGAAAATGTTTGGACCTTGGACTGGAGCCCCATTGCTCCCATTTACAGAGTGCTTGCTTCATGCCAGGCCCCAGGGAAAATGCTCAGCTAAATGCATAGTCATGTCAAGTCTGTACAATGACCCTGTGAGGGCACTACGCTCATATACCCACTTGAAAGAGGAGAAAACTGAGGCCCCAAAGGGATGGAACTATTTGCTGATAGTCTGTCAGTATGTATTATGCTGAAGGAGCCTTGAAACTGCCTGCCTGTATCCTGTACTCATCCATTTCTCTGCAAGAGAGGGGAGGAGACAGAGACAGATAATATTTATATGTACTTCATAGAGTCATTATAAGGGTGATATAAGTTATTACTTTCCATAATGGTATATATGTGCCATATTACCTTCTTTTTTAAAAAAATATTTAATTTTATATATCACCATTATTATTAATATATTTAATTTGCTACAGGGCACATACACTCACCAGAAGGAGACACAGAGAGAGAGAGAGAAAACATGAGAAAGTAAACCTTACCAGGTCTGGGACTCAAACATGGTCAGCCATGTGGAAGTCCAGCACTCCAACCACCACACTACCTGCTGGCCCCATGCCAAATTACCTTCTACATTCTTTCTTTCTTTTTTTGAGATTTTCGCTATAGGGTTCATGTGCTTGATAGAGAGAAAGAGAGAGCGAAGCACCTCAATAGGGTCTTGTTACGCTGCATTCCCCTTTCCACAGCCCTCCAGCTCCTCAGGATCTTGGGCACACATAGCCTGTTTTCAAGCTGATGTGGGGATCTGAACCTGCAGTTGCCCCTGTGTCTTCTAGCCTTCCTTCCTTCCTTCCTTCCTTCCTTCAGAGTGGCTGGGTTCTGTACTATATTCTAATCACTGTGCATTCATTCATTCATTCTTTCACCCAGTCGGCACTTAGTGAGCACACATTGTGGCAGTGTGGGGACAGCAGTGAATACACAGACACAGATCCCTGCCCTAATGGAGCAGATGTTCTCCTGAGGGAGAGACCAAACAGTAAACATGAGAATCAAGTCAATCCCATAGTACGTCAAAAGGTGGTAAGCGCTCTGTAGAGAAATGCAGCAGGGCAAGAGGAAGCACGTCTGTGCAGGAGGATATTGCAGTGTTTAGTACAATGGAATGATCCAGAAAGGCCTGACTGAGAAGGTTGACATTTGAATAAAGCCTCAAAGGAGAGGAGGGAATCGCATAGATACCACCGGGTGAACAGCCTTGAGGTGGGAATGTGCCTGGTAAGTCTGAGAAGGACAGAGGAGACCCAGGCGACTAAGAGAGCTAAAGGGAGAGGGGTAGAGAATGAGGTCGGGAAAGAGATGGGGACAAGTTGGGGATCAGGGTAAGAACTTCAGCTTTTAGCCTGAATGAGATGGCGCGTGGGAGGCCAGGAGGAGTGCTGAACAGCCCTCCTGCCCTCCCCTGGCAGCTATCAGATCTGATGCCCCAGGACTTTGTCAACATCACGTCAAGCCCTCTGTGGTACACAATAAACCAGTCACCCGTGCTCATCCTGGGTGGCATTCCCAATGAGAAGTACATCCTGCTGACCGACACCAGCTTCAATGACTTCTCTCTCGTGGAGGTGAGTGGTGTAAGTGGGCTGAGGCATTTGAAATGGTGTGGGGCCTGGGTCTATAGAATGGGTCCCCAAAGACAGACCAGTCCACACAAGAGGCAGATAGCATGAAAACACACACACACACACACACACACACACACACACACACGCCTCTAGCCATATGGCCTAGGTTCAAATCCTGGGTCTGCCACCTTCCAGTTGTGTGACCTCGGGGGAATTACTTCACCTACCTGAGTGTCAGATTCCCACTTGTAAAATGGAAATGATATATATATATTTACTTCATAGACTCATTGTGAGGGTGATATAAATTATTAGTTTCTTAATGGTATATCTGTGTCATATTACCTTCTTTTAAAAAATTAATTTTATTTATCGTTATTATATTTAATTTGCTACAGGGCATATGCACTCACCAGAGAGAGAGAGAGAGAGACTATAAGAAAGCAAACCACCAGGTCTGGGACTCAAATCACGGTCAGCCATGCGGGCATCTAGCAGTCCAACAACCACGCCCCCTGCTGGCCCCATGCCAAATTACCTTCTACATTCTTTTTATTTAGAGTTTTGCTATAGAGTGCATGTGCTTCCGAGAGAGACAGAAAGCCAGAAATCACCCCCCAGCGGGATAGCTATGTCATAATCCCCTCTCTTCAATTCTCTTGGGATTTTGGGCATGCCATCTGCTGGTCCCAAGGCATATATGTTTTTATGCCCAAATCCCAAGGAGACTGGAGAAAAAGGGATTGCAGCATGACCATCCCCCGGGAAGTGATTTCTCATTTTCTTTCTCTGTCTCTCCCTGGGGGTGAGGGAAGGGTGTGTGCTCCCTATAGAAAAAAAGCAAAAACAAACAAAAATGCTGAAATGAATTTCCTTGGTCCTGTTTGGTCCACCTTGGTTCACATGTGCCAAGCTAATGGAACATGGCCACTGGCTTAGCAAAGGCTTGTAGGCTTCCTCCTACTGTGGAGAGCAGTTCAGACAAAAGTGGGAGTTGGTGTTACACGCAGAGCTAAATAGGATCACTTTGCCACAAATGGGGGTAAATGGTTATCTCATGTGCCAAGGATAACAATTGTGCACCGCAGCAACCTTGGAAGATTGCCTTAATCTCCTGCTATCAAAGTCAGAAGCCCCAACCACAATATCAGAGAGCCCCCTGTGGGTTAATATTTTCCTCATTCCCTCTGGCTCTGAGTTCCTGCTGCTTCTGGACTTGCTGTCTGTGGCCCATCTTCCTGTTTGGTGTCAGCTTTCTCTGGTTTGGCCTAAGTATCCAGACAGTGCTCAATATTCCCAGACTTCTGACCCACGCACACCAACATGGAATGTGTAGTTCATGTGGATTCTGTTGAGTTTTGTTTTGTTTTTAATATTTTTGACATAGGGCACATGCATGAGACAGAGAGAGAAACAGAGGGAAAGTGAGAAATCATCCCCTGGGGGGACAGCCACACCACAATCCCTTCTCCGGTATTCTCTTGGATTTGGGGCATACATGCACATATGCCTGATGTAATTTACAAACTGCTGGGTCCAGAACTCGGTCATGGTTGGCCATGTAGGAGCCTAGTGTCTTAACAACCACACTACCTGCTGGCCTCGTGAAGAGAATTTGAGTGCAGGGAAGGGATTTATATGTCAGGAATAAAAGCAAGTTCTATTTGTACTTCAGATGTCCTTATTGTTCCTTATTTTTAAAATTTATTGGGGTGAAGTTCATAAAACCATTCTTTTTAAAAATATTTTCTTTAATTTTATTGTTTATTTTTAAATTTGAGACATAAAGAGAGACACAGAGAGAGAAAGGGAAAATCAGAAGGCAAGCTACCAGCTCCAGGACTCAAACCACGGTTGGCCATGTGGGAGTCCAGCACCCCAACTACCACCTGCTGACCCCTATAAAATCATCCTTTTTTTAAAAAAAATGATTATTTAACTTTTTTTTAGAAAATTATTTTTAAATTTGACCAGAGCAAGAGAGAGAAAGGGAGAGAGAGAAAAATGAGAAAGCAAGCCACCAGGTCTGGGACTCAAACCATGGTCGGCCATGAAGGAATCCAGTGCCCTTAACCAGCATGCCACCTGCTGGCCCTAAAACTATTCTTAAAGGGGACAATTCAGTAGCATTTAGTCTATTTACAATATTGTGCATCCATCATTTCTGTGTAGGTCTAAAAACTATCCATCACTCCAGAGTTAAGTTCTCCGAGAAAACAGGCATCAATTCAAATGTTAGTAATGGGGCAACACATTAAGTATGACAGCTAATCAAGGTTACAGACTTTTTAGAGGGTTCAGGCTCATTTCAGCAGGCATAGCAACAACCTCTGAATTTTTTTTAGGGAGATTTTTGCTATAGGGCAGATGTTCTCACTGGAGAGACAGACATCTCACCTCCCAGGGAAGATGGCCATGCCACAATCCCTTCTCCTCCATTCTTCTCTCGGGATTTTGGACATGCATGCAAGCACATCTGGAGTGAATTTTAAGCTGCTAGGTCCAGGACTCGAACCACAGTTGCCTACGTGGGAGTCCAGCAATGTAACCATTATGCCATCTGCTGGTCCCAACCACCACTGATTTTATGATGCTGAATAGGGTTAAGGGAGGTGAGAATGTTCTTTTTTTCTTTTTTTTCTTAAGAATTATTTAATTTTATGGGACCAGCAGTTAGCGTAATGGCTATATCGCTGAACTCCCACGTAGTCGACCGCGGTTCATGTCCTGCACCCGGTGGCTTAAAACTCACGCTGGGAGCGTGTGCGTGCATGCCCAAGATCCCGAGAGGAGAATGGAGGAGAAGGGATTGTGGCATGGCCATCCCCCTTGGGGGGTGATTTCTCGCTTTCTGTCTCTCTGTCTCTCTCTGTCTGTGCCATCAGCCATATGGGAGCATCCAGTGTCCTAACTGCCATGCCACCTGCTGGTCCCTGAGAATGTTCATCTTCTGCTTGCTGAAATTTCTGTCAGCATTAGAGTCTAGATTTTTGCTTTGATTTATACATTTTATTGAAAAGTAGAAAGTTTCTTTTTAGTGAAAAGTTTCAAACCCGAAAGTGGAGAGTTTGGCATAATGAATCCAGCTTCAACCATTGTAAACATTTTGTCTTTTTTAAATTTGCTATGGGGTGTGTGCACTCACCAGAGAGACAGAGAGAAAAAAAGTGAGAAAGCTCCCCCCAGGGGGATGACTAGTCTCTTCTCCATTTTCCTCTTGTGATTTTGGGCATGCATGCACATGCCTCTGAGATGTTTTTCAAGTCCAGGACTTGAACCGCTAAGTTGGCTATGTGGGATCCAGCCACCTTAACCACCATGCCTTCTGGTTAGCCTCATTTTGCCTTTTTTGTTCCACTATTTTTTTTCCCCTGGTATATTTTAAAGGAAATCCCCAGAACTAGCAGATGGCATAGCAGTTATGTTGCTGGACTCCCACATGGCCGACCACTGTTTGAATCCCAGGCCTGGTGGCTTGAAAATCATACCAGGTACGTGTGCATGCAGCCCAGGATCCTGGGAATAGAGGGGAGGAGAAGGGATTGCAGCATGAGCATCCCCCCTGAGGGCTGATTTCTCACTTTCTCTGTTACTGTGCCTGTCTTCTCCCCCACCCCTGAGGCACATGTCCTGAGGCAAAAACCTCTAAAGAAAAAGAAAATCCCAGCCATTATGCCCTCTGACTCATAAGTTTTTGAAATCCTTCAAAAAGTATCTCAAATACATGACTTTAAAAAGACAAAGTCATGGGGGCCAGCAGGTGACATGGTGGTTAAGGTAGCTGGACTCCTTCATGGCTGACCGCAGTTTGAGTCCTAGACCTGGCAGCTTTCTTTCTCACTTTCTCTCTCTCTCTGGTCAACTTTTTTTTTTTTAAGTTTTTTTTTTTTTTGGAGAGGTTTTCGCTATAGGGAA